TTATATTTCACGATGAAATGCACTCTTAAACTCTTTGGATTATAAAGAAAACAGCTTTTTGCTGGGTTTTTTTTTTGCAACCTGTGTATTTCACAATTTGGTTGCCGAAACTACAAATTTTTGTTATTTATAAATTACTTTATAAAGTGCTATTAACTCCAGGTTTTGTGTAATATGATTATGTGCCAACTTAAAACTTTGCATGCAAGGCTATTAAATCAATGACAAGACTTTTGGAGCATTCAAATATTTCCCAAAATACCTGTAAATAACAAAATATACCCCCCCCCCCGTAACTAAATGTTGCTGTATGATGAAAAGACGTTACATTGGTCATTAACAACACATTGTTGGGGGGCACATGGTTGTAGGGATAATATAGAAGCTCAGGTGGCACATAACTCCTATCATAGCCTTAATTAAACAATTTGAAAAACCAGAAATACTGTATCAATGCACTGGGGCCAATCTGGCAATTACTTCTAACTATGTTCTGACAATCCTTGCACTCATAGTCATTGTCAACGTTTAGGGCCACTTTCGGTGCCTTAGCAAGCTCGATAATTGGGGGAGGCTCATATTCATATATTATATTCGTGTTCTGCATTATTAATTTCTTTTGAAATGGATTGTTTTTATGGACTGTGAATATGAATATATGAATATGAGTCCCCCCCCCAATTATCAAACTTGCTACGGCACTGACTTTTGGTTGTTATACCATCAAGTCTGATAATTGCACCGCCAATGGTTGTGGTATCTCTTGTTTTTCCCATCATCATTTCTGTACTCAACTTTACAACATATAATATATTCTTGTTTATTCCAGAATTATCTTACAATTGGGACACCATTTATCACACAATTGGGAATTTGTCCTGACTCACCCTGGTTTCCCAATTAAGCCCTAGAGTGACAGCACTCTCCCTTGATGAGTAAATTGTCTGGTGTTACACAGAGTAAAATAATAATGTAGGGCATATCAGGGTGCATTGCCACTTAAAGGGTTAATCTTGATCTGGGTGGCAAAATACTGCAGTACCAAGCAAGATGTATGGAAATTGAAGACACAAAAGCTGGATTAATTTTGAACCATTTTAATTGGACTTCTTCAATGGAATTATTAACAGTGAA